TGCTTCGCGCGCAAAAAGAGTGAGTGTGAGCAGTGCCGCTGGTGAGTAGGAACAAACTATTTATTTACTTCCCGGCCCGAAAAAAAATCCGGAGGCTTCCCCCATGTTGAAACACTTTAAATTCTTCAATTCTCGGCCCGAATTAAACAATTTACATAAATTAAATCAGTAATTCAAAATCCTGGGGAGGGGGTGCCGGGGGGAGGTCTGGGAGGGCGTTCAGAGGGGGGTCCGGGAACCACCTCCCCAGGATTTCAGTTGGTTTCAGTATATATATATATATATTTTTTTTTTGTTTTTTTCTTAGTTGATTTCTGGCCCGAAATAAATTCAATATAATGTAGATAACCTGAATCCTGGGGAGGGAGGTTCCTTTGGCGTCCGGAGCCTCGGAAATTAACATATTGAATAATTCAGTCCTTGGGGGCAGCCCCACCCCGCCACCCCAGCCCCCAGCCCCGCAGCCCAGCCAGCCCCCAGCCCCGCCCTATCGAGCCGCGCCCTTCGCTGATTTCTTTTCTTAAAACGCAGCGGTTCGATAGCACCAAGTTTTCTGAAACGACACCCTCCGGAATATTCAGTGCTATCGAACCGCCCTTCGCTTTCTTCAGAAAACGCAGCGGTTCGATAGCACCAAGTTTTCTGAAACGTCACCGTTCGGAAAATTTGGTGCTATCGAACCGCTCTTCATTGTCTTCATTTTCTCAAAGCGCAGCGGTTCGATAGCACCAAATATATCTGAAACGACACCCCGTTCGGGAAATTTGGTGCTATCGAACCTCTCTTTTTCTCAAAGCGCAGCGGTTCCATATCACCAAATTTTTTGAAGCGACACCTTAGGAAAATGTGGTGCTACTTCGCTGTTTTCGTTTCTCCCCCCCCCCCCAGCAGCGTTTTAATGGCACCAACTTTTCTGAAACGACGCCCTTCGGAATAGTTGGTGCTATCGAACCGCCCCTCGCTGTCTTCATGTTCCGCAGCGGTTCGATAGCACCAAATATTCTGAAACGACACCAATCGAAAAAATTTTGTGCTATGGAGCGGCCCTTCGCTGCTTTTCATTTTCTGAAAACTTCGTGGATATATATGTACATCAGAAACAGCCAATCGCAGCAAACATCACCACCCGACTTTTAGGCAAAAACTGCTGCGATGGACTTGTTCGTGGGTATATCTATCTCAATCAGGAAACAGCCAATCGCAGCAAATTTCGACAGCCGGCTCTTGGGCGAAATTTGCTGCGATTGGCTTGTTATTAGTGGTCATATTTAAGTCAGGAAACAACCAATAGCAGCAAATTTCGCCAACCGATTCTTGGGCGAAATTTGCTGCGATTGACTTGTTCGTGGATATAATTAACTCAATCAGGAAACGAGTGCTCCTTTACCTCTTGGTAGAGGAAAAGATCCCCGTCCCTACCCCAACAACTCAGAAAAGAACCCCCTTTAACTTCTCGAGAACGAAGAGAGCTCCGTTCACCTTTCTGTCGACACGAAGAGACTTCCTTTCTCTCTTAGTCAGGGGCGAAAGCTCCTGACCATCTCCTCCTCCTCCTCCTCCGCCTCCTCCTCCTCTTCAAAACATGGAAGAGAGCCTACGATCAGGGACAAACGATGGAGCTACGATCAGGGACAAACGATGGAGCTCTTCCAAACTTCAAACCTTGACAAGATGAGTCTGATCCTCCCCGCGGCTTTCGAAGAGATGGGGACTTACCAAAAGGTCAGGGCTTGTGGACAGGAGCTCTTTCTCCTTCTACCAAAAGCAAGTTGGAGGGACATCTCTTCTCGTCTTAGAGCATGAAGCATACGATGTTTCTTCTAAAGGCTGCGGGGAGGACCGGACTTTTTCGTTTGAAGGTTGGGGGGAGCTCCACCCTTTCCTCTCTAGCGTAAGCTCTCTTCCATCTTTTGAAAAAATAACGGGGAAAGCCAGGATCCTTTTTTCTTACCAAGGGGGAAAAGAGGTTTTTCTTGCCGACTGAAGGGTGAACGGAGCGCGTGAATGAACAAGGATCAACAGTGTGCTTCTTTGAGGGTTATGCTAAAAAGCGCATTATCACTTCGCCCACTCGAAGGGTCCATAGCTGTCTAACAGAGCTGCAGACACACCGATCAAAGCAGTCGCTACGAAACTGCAGGAGATTTCGGCCCTTGTCCTTACGATGTCATAGCCGGGCGTGAATGAACAAGGATCAGCAGTGTGCGTTCGTTGGGGGTCATGCTTGAAGGCACATTTAAACTTCGTTCATTCGAAGGGTCCGCAACTGTTTTCAAAGAGCTACTGACACAGGGGCCAGTAATCGCCCGCCAATCCTCCTTGCAGCCTTGAACTCGATGGCAACCGTCTCCCACGGCTCGAAGCTATTGCTCTCTCCTGTAATACAGCTGTAGGCTCCGCAGTCGTTGCCACAGGAGTGTCGGTATGTTTTATTTGTACAGCAAGTTTCCAATGCCACCGCTCGTTTTTCCTGACGTCGTCATAGAGCAATCCTTGTAAACCGGCAATTTTATGCTTGTTCAATTCCTCCTTGGAATGCATCTTCATGAAATGATTGGTGTGCCCACTTGGTTTACATGTCGACTCATGTCAGTCTCAAGCCATGAACTGCAGTGGACCCTGTTCAGTGAGTTTGAGCACAACCCTGCGGGGGGCTGTGTATCTTTCTGTTTACCTGTACAATTACAGACTGCGCAGTTTCAGCTGGCAAATAGACATGGTTTTAGGTGGCCACACGGGGGGTGGGGGCGCGGGTCGGGACCGTGTGCACAAGGCAGCGCATTTTGCTTTAAGCAGACAGCCCGGCAAAAGGTCCAGGCACAGTGCAGCCAGCCTTTGCCCAGCCCAACCCCGAGCCTGCGAAAGGCTTGATTTGCGATCAAGTCTTCCACATCAAAGAAGATGGATCGCGCGAGTTGCAGTACCTCACGCTTGATTGATTATTGAGGCGTCGAGGTCTTCATATTATGTTGCGGCATGAGGGATTTGAGTAGTTATCGGGAGATGTTACAACTTGTTTGTTTTGCTGTGTAAGGTTTTGTCTTTTCGGCTGGGGTTAAGGCCTTGCTAGGTCCTTGCTCCCAAGATGGCGTCTGAGGTACTTTGTTTGCCTTCCAAAGAGCTTGGCAGTGCCTCCAATTCCCGGAGACATGTTGGATGCAGCTCCCGCTGCAGAGCGAATTCAACCAGGCCGGGTGTCGCGAAGTATCGCAAATGCAGCGGTAAGTCCGGGGAGTTTGTGGCCGCCTTGGCTGTCGGGAGCTCAGGGTGCCGATCGCTTGTAAATTCCGCTGCCGGGAAGGTGTGCGCATCCGGGTGAACCCACCGCCTGGAAAGGACCGGCTGTCAGCGTCAGCATCTGCAGCGTCAATGCATCATCAGATAGTCTCAGTGGATGTCATCACTGCCATGTTCCGCACGTGTCCTAGCTGTGAGGACCCTGCCTATGGCTGGGGACGCATCGCGAGTAGCGATGTAGGCAGGGTGAGCTTGGTCTAGTCCGGGAACGAGGCTTTGGGAGAGTCCGGCGAAGCGTTTGGGCAACCTTGACCGAACTTGGCAGGCATTGTACAGCAAGTTCATCTGGATGGAAAGGTGGATGTGCCCCTTGGCGGTTTTCCAGTCGATGCTCAGAAGCAACGGAGCGAAATTGGTCAGGTTTTCACCCGGTAGTTGCAATTGGGATATCAACAGCATGGTTGCTCACAGGTTAGTCGAGCCGCGATAGTGTGCGGGCACGAAATGAACTGCTTATGCCATTTAAGAATCTTTGCAAGACCAGCATTTGAGTTCGATACCTTGCGAATCTCTAGTCAGCACATCTGCGCTCAGGTTCTTTATGTCCGAGGAAAAGCTTTGGCATGCGGCGCTCCAGGATCTGGATACGGTCCCTTTGGCATTCGTTGGTTGCAGCTTGTGCCATGATTACTCCGGGCACTTATCCAAGTAAAGTTTGTCGTTGCCCAGTTATGGTCCGAGAATCGGGTGCTAAACGTCAGCAGCGGTCTCGACTACAAGCGAGGCAGCTGTTCTTTCTGGGTCCTTGACATGGGTCGGGTTTCCGAAGTCGCGAGGGAAGACACCTGAGGAGAACCTGCCCATGACGCTCCGGCCCAACTGTCCGGTGTGCCAGCGACCCTTTCCGTCAGGACAGAGGGGGCGATTCGGCAGGGTCTAGAGCCCAGGGATGTCTGGACGTTTCTTCTGGCACTTCGGGTGCAAGGATTGGAGTTTCCTTCTTTGCCCCAATTTTTTTTGAGAACCTTCAATCCTGCTGTTCAGGACAGCAGTTGAATCTGGACATTGCGATGGATTCGCAGATCCGGAGGAGCTCCCCACTGTTTGCAAAGTTTGCAGTAGTTTCTCAGATCAGTGAATACGGTTCAATTCGTGATTCAGGTTGGAGATCTTATAGTGCATTCTGCTTGACATGGCAGCATGCATCTTGTTGGGTTGTCCTTTCATGTTTATGCTCTTCGCTTCCACTGTTCTCAAACTTGAGACTGACGTTAAAATGAGAGCTGGCCCCCGACACTGACTGGCTTTCAGTTCCGGGAGGATGAAGAAGCTGATGGCCGGGGCGCGGCACGAGCGGAATAGCCTGGACCGCGATGGTGCCTCGAGAAGCGGGAAGGGCCACCGAACCACCTTTACAGGATGTACTGGTAATGCTCGGGGCAAGAGGACTGATGGATGAGGGAATGTGTGGCTGATCACAAGCCAACGCGAAGTGAAATCTGCTCCACTACCCGGTAGGCGCACCATTGTCAGAATGTGTCCGGGGTGAAATCTATCAATGTCTGTCCAACCCGAGGCGGTGTACCCAGGCTCCTGAGATCTCAGACGCACCGGGAGGACAGCTTTGTTCAGTCATCTTGCGATGTTCGACATTCCCTCCCTCGGTCCAAGAGAGAGGAATATGACGTGATGGAATACTGCCTGACATCCAAGCAGGCCCTGAGTAGCACAGCTGCGCACTGAGACAGACGAGGAACTCAAGTGCAACATCTGCTTCGACCTCGTCGTGTCGCCTGTGACACTGCCGTGTGGTCGCGTGCTGAGGCTTGTGATCCACTGTGCTGGCATGCTGTTGATCCTGGACTTAGGTCACACCTACTGCAAGCACCACATCCAAACGTGGCTTCTAGAGAACGACAGCTGTCCGGTTTGCCGTGTGCGAATCCTGCACTTCAAGGACCACCCCTTGACACTTCTGTGATAGAAAAGGCGTTTTGCCACATCCACTCCACCCCAGTGCAGGACCGCGAGAAAAAGCCGAGGCTGCGGATGTGGAGCGGGACAAGTTCTCTTGGGCTAACTCTAGTCAGATCGCAAATGGCCCAAAATAGGATAAAGATAGGAAAAATCGTAGAAATCCTACTGTTTTATTTATATTTTTGCTATTTTCCTCCTACATGGTGGGTTTTCAGGTTCTCTCTGGGACGAACACTATTGAGTCGGACATAAGATAAGTTGTCATGAGTCATGGTGTGTGGGATGGACTGCTTACATTGCTGAGTGCACAGCAAGATCAAGACGTTTCTTTAGGTCTCGACAGGCTTCTGAATGCCGGTTTCAAAAATGTTTCATCTGAAGTGGATCTTTTGTTGCTCAGCGAATCATTGCCAAGCATGACCTGTTGGCGGCTGTTGGTTGGTAGGCAACTTCGGACAGCAGCATCACTTTTCCAGACGTCGTTGAGGGAGACCCGGCAGCAACTGAGAAAGCAAGCTTCTTGGATGTCGACTAAATCCTGAACTTGAGAGTCTTCAGGACGAGGATGGAAAAGGGGGGCAGCAATCTGGAGAGGGCTTCGAGCTCCACGTCAACAAGATGCCTCTTGCCTTTGCCTGGCCCGTCAACGCTGGCACTGCAAGCGTTTGAAGGAGGTTCCTGATGCTCACATGCAGTCCAGCGTAGGATCGCTTAGGCTATCCGAAGGTTACACTCAGCTTACGCGGCACGGTTTGGGCCTGCCCTCTGAATACTTCGTTCTTTGTTCCATTTGGCTTCCTGACGGTCCCGTTAGTCACCACTCTTCTGGTGTTCGAAATGTTGCCGTTCCTATTACGGCCAGTGGCTGGCGTCGGCTTACACGTACAACTGGAGACTGTATGCGAAACAACCGTACCCAGAAGCATAGTCTCACAAGAACTGCAGCAAGCTGTGGAGACGATAATTTGGCAACATGCGTTGAAATTTGAAGGCGATCTGAGTTAAAGCTGATGTCACAGCTGCGTGTTCTGCATTTCCCAGCTCTACATAGCCGCTGGCAACTCAGGTTGGAGACCCAAGTGATTCGTTTTTTCCAGGACGAGGCACAGCCGGGTCGTTTTCGTTTTCGAGTCTGCGGCTGGCATTTTGCCACGCTTGACCGGTTTGCTTCGCTTGCTTCACCATGCTTCACCTGACTCATCTGCCTTACGATTGCAGATGAGTGCAATCCAGACCCACATACATGGGGAGCCGCCGAGCAGCGAGGTGCAGAACAGAATCTCGGAGGTGGCCAGTGAAGTCTGGGATGTCATCGAGCGGCGGCAGGACCCTGTCTGACGCTCTGGAATGCTCTGGAAGGGGGAGGCAAAGGCACTCCATGTCAAGCAGTTCAGTTTCGTCGTCCGCGGACTCTTTTTCTGTGAGATGGGAAACGTGTTACTTGTAGGACAAATGCCCAAAGTCCTGCGGCTGATACCCCAAGTCCTCCATTTCTGAACCCTGTATACAATCTCCACAGAGGCCTTCCGAAATACTAAAGCTTACACCTCACACGACTCATGTATCCCTTTCAGGATGGCTTCCTCACCCGTCTGCGTAATTTCCTGGACCAGTTCCGGGCACCGGGCCCAACTCTTAGACGCGGGTGGCGGGAGTCGAATGGAGTCGAAGGAGTTTTAAACGTGGTTTTTTCGGCCCGTGGCTATGACCATGAGGATGGTCACTCCGGTTTTCGAGTTTTGTAGACGAGGTGTCTAGAATCTTGGTTTCGGAGGGTTGCACTGCCGGCGCTTTGCTCGGATTTTATTGTCTGCCAGCTCGAGTCAAGCTGCAAGTGTTAGAGCGGGAGTCTTAGTAAGGAGCTGCGTTGGATCCCGGCCAGTCCTCTCTCTCTAGCCAGAAATTGGAACGTCGAGGTCAGTGTACACTGCATCTCTTGTTTTCAATTTGCGCCTTTGTTTGTCGCGCGGATGCCCTGGCGGCTCAACTTAAACCAATGATGTCTTTCTGTAAGCAGTGCTGTCGCTGTAGCTTCCAGCCTTGTCAGCGGAAGCTGAACGAAAACCAGACCCCTAGTGGCCATCTCAGGGGTGACCGAGCTGCTAAAGCTCAAGAGTATGGTTGGGCCAGACTCTCCGCTGCCGAACACGACACTTGGCGACCTCTGAGAGGCTGAGCGTACCTGCAACATCATTCGAAGACTTTGCATTGCATTCTGCTTCATGCATGGAGAGAAACTGTGCATAATTGGAAGCTGACCTGCTCTAGCAAGCACCTCGAAGATTTCCGTTTACGAGACCAGGAAGGGGGCTACACTGCTTATGATGGCCAGCGAACTTGGATTAGAGGAGCATGTCAATGTGCACGCCTGTGCATCTGTGCAGATGTTGAGTTGAGACGCTTTTTATACTGATGCCCCTGACAGGACACGGTGGAGGAACTCTTGAAACTATCTGCCGATCCGTGGAAGACAACTTCCGCTCCTCAGTCAAATCGGGTCTGGAGAGCAAGAGCCAGTCTTGCGTTTCGGTTAGCTGCTAGCTTCGTTTTCCGAGGCCGGCTTTGGTCCAGGGACTTCTGCCTTACAAATGGCTTCCGGGCAGGGGCACGCAGCGGTGCTCAGGCTGGTGCGGACGGCGAGTTTTGCCGAGTCTGCATACAATAGGATGCCCTCACAAGAATCTAAGAAGAGTCCCCGAAACGACCCTTGGAAATGCAGCAACCATGAATGTGTGTCCTGCCAACTCAGATTGAGCTAAACTCCATGCAACAGGAAGCTGCTTTCAGCAGAGCAGGGTGTGCTCGACTCAAACAGCGCCGCCCTCTGTGCAGACGCACTAGGACCGCCACAGATGAAAGGTTGAAGTGCTCGGTGATCCAGTGCAGGGTCATGAAAAGTGGCCGTGCATATCTAGCCTCGTGTAACGATGGCGCGGGACAACTGCCGGCATTCAATTTTGGCAGGAGCGGCGATTGAGGGACACCACATTTCCTGCGTTGCTCATCTTGCATAGCTAGACAGAAATTGCAGGTGCGGGAAGTCGGCGGCCATCCTGTCTTCCGGTCTACCGAGGTGGAGGAGCTTCTGCGCATTCCTGAAATTCCCGATGTCGCTGATCTGCGAAATTGCTTCTCGACTGAATAGATGAGCTTGGAGAGAGTTGCGGTCTGGCTGCTCTAAGCAGCTTCTTGCTGGTGCGAGTGTGACGGCGAGTGTGGGTAGCCGCTCCGGTAGTCAAGGCATGGATCTGACTGGACTTCTCACAGCAGTACAGGCTGGGAACACGGAGACTTGGCAGAACGACTCGAATTGCAGAGAGCAAGCGTGCAGTTGCCTTCACTCGGTGGTGTTCCGAAGGATATCATATCCATGCTGGTCGAGCACCGGGCGAACATCGAAGCACGCACCGCGCATTCGGGCCTGCTGGTCTCGAAGGCGCGGTTCGGAGCCGCATTCGCTCAGATAGGAGCCTAACCGCCCAGCCTGGCCAGGCTGGAAGTGAAAAAGTGAACGGGCCTTACCAACAGGCAGCGACTCCCTCGCCGCTTCATTCGAAGTCGGTTTCTCACGAATGCGGTTTACGTTTCAGGTGGGAGAGTATTGTGGGCGCCCGCTGTACGAGAACCTCTTTGGGGCAGTGGTGTGCTTTGACTGCACCAGGCTGATCTGCTCCGGACCGGAAGGATGCTTGAGGATCTTCACCCTGAAAATCCCAGGTATTGCAAGGGATGGTGGAAGATTGCCCTGTCCCGAGCCAACATGGAGGAGACAGAGGACAGACCTTCAACTCTGCTCGTCCTTCGGGGCGTACATCCTTCTTTGGCTGAGTGGAAGAAGAAGAGCTCTCCTTCGGCGTCTTTGCACGGAGCATAAGCACTGGCCGGGCTGCAGGGATTGAGAGCAGGCGCCCGAAGAAAACCAGCAAGCAAGAAAGCCAGAAAGCAAGAAAGTAAGAGAGAGAGAGAGAGAGAGNNNNCTTAGAAGGGGTGTCTGTTCGGGGGGGGTTAACAGAGGCACAGTCAGGGGAACACGAAACCACTCAACCCCAAAAGGGGGTGTACTGACGGACAATCGCGCGCCTAGGGGGTAGGCCTTCGGGCCAGGGTTCCCCCGGGGACCCATACCCCAAGCAAGCAAGCAAGCAAGCAAGCAAGAGAGAGAGAGAGAGAGTAGCCATTTTGGCTCAAGCCGTGAGCAGTTCAAGAGGGGTGACCTCGAAGCCATTCCTTTCTTGTCTCGCTCTCCCCCCTGAGGTCACTGCCTCTCAACCGAAAACTCCCATCGCTTTATCCCGCCAATTTGAGTTTCCGCTGCGATTGCTGTTGAACGTCCTCGGCAAGTTTGTGCACTCCCTGCTCAACGCTCTTGAGGGGGAGCTGGTTGTGCAACGGTCCACATCGGTGACCGCAGCTGAGTGCTTCCTTCAGGACTATAACAACAACGCCGTTGAGGAATTCGGCGAACCTACTCGTGTTCATCGAGGGGGCATCGATTCTGCCAGGGGAGATCGCCCCGACGCAGCACAGCTCTGTGCACCTTGCTGTTCCCAGCTGCAGCAATGGCAAAGCAAGCGATGGAAACTGAATCCCCGGCTCGGAAGCGGGGAGTCCCCATCGACGAAGGGCTCAGCTTGGAGTCGATCCGTGAAGTCCTCAGAACCGAGATCCAAGGCGCAGTGGGAGGAGTCACCGACCGAGTTGCCGCGTTGGAGAGAAGCCTTCAAAGCCACAATGAACGTACCTTTCAAGCAGTGGAGACACTTTCCACTGGGCAAGCAGAGCAAGGACTCCAGATCCGCCAGCTGGCCACCGATTCGCAGAACATGGCGACCAGGCTCAACAACTTGGAGGGAACGATCAAAAACCTCCAGTCCTCGGGGAGCACCCCGTCGACAATGGATACGGGGAGAGTCCCCGCCCTGGTGATGGGAGGATGGCCTCCTGACACCCTGGCAGCGGACGTTCTTACCAAGGCCAACGAGATGGCCAGGGACCTCCAACTCCAGATCAACATGGCTGATGCATTTGTCCCAGGCGTCCGCAGAGGTTTCGTGCTGGTGCCAATCTCGCCCATGGACGGTGAAACAGAAGAGGCAATGAGGCAGAGGGTGCAGACATGTATCAGGCGAGTCAACGCCTCCAACATCTCCCTGGGTTGGAAGCCAGATGGAAATCAAGCCAGGCTCTGGCTCACCCTGAGCCAACCACCGGAAAGACGCAGGCGGGCAGCCTTGGCTGGGAAAGTAAAGCGATTGATCATTGAAGCCGGGGGAACAGCCCTCATCGCCCGCATCGAGCCCGAATGGGCCACAGGCACCGTGTGGTTTAAGGACAACAAGATTTCGTCGGGGACGTCGGCAGGACCCCCGGGATCCAGCATTGCAGGTTGCGGTTGGATTGATCTACCCAAGATCGCTGAGCTCATCGGGGTTGATTCGCAGCAACTTGCCAAGACGTGGGAACCGCTGCTCGCGGCCCTGCGTTGATTTGACGCCGACCTCGAACAGGGGGTCCACCCCGAGCCGTTTCACCATCTGCCGGCGCGGCCATCTTTGACTGCTCAACAGGAGAAGTCACAGCGTAGGCCGCAGGATTCTTTGCATGTGTGCACCTGGAACCTTGGAGGGATGAGCCCGGATACTGTTCTGGACTTTCTTTCCAACTTTCGTGGTGAGCAACCCCTTTCCCGCTTGCGTATAGTGTTTCTCCAAGAGATCACTACACAGGGGGGACCGCACTTCCTTGACAACGACACGTGGATGCTGGTCCACGGCAGACAGGAGAGCGAATGGCGAGGCTGTGGTGTTGCTTTCGTTAAGACTTTGGGGGTTCACCTCAACTCTCGCCTAAAGCTTGCCGCTTGCACCGTGTGCCTGAAACTCCATGATGCAAAGACCCTGGGACTTATCTCAGGGCACATTTCGCACAAGTTCACCATTGCAGACGCGGCCGCTGCCTTGCAACAGTGGGGGGAATCCCCAGCCTGCCTCCAACCCAAGGTCATGTTAGGTTTCGACGCAAACGAAACCTTTTTGCAACCCGGAGACCTGCTGGAGGACGAAACCCTATCCTGCACGGGCCGGGGAGAGCAGATACTTACGTGGTGCATGGAGCAGGGGATCACGCTGCCCCTTCAGCATTGTGATAAGCCTAGCCACTTCCCATATAACCCTGATCTTGCCCCGAGAAGGATCGATTATGTGGCCTCCAGCCACCTAAGGATCGTCGCTGCCGATGTAGGAGCGTACAGAGACCGAGCACGATCAGATCACGAACCGATCCTAGCCGAGATCGTCTTGCCAACACCGCAGGGCCCCAAAGGTAGAGTCATCTGGTGCGCTAGACAGCTCAAGTCTGATTGTCATGCAGTGTTAGACGCATCGTTGCCGGCACATGCCGATCACCATCATGCCATTGCCCACATCTCTAGGCTTATCACTGAGCCCGTGAACCGATCCATGAAGTTTCATGAGTCCGGGGAACTCAAAAAACTCAGGAAAGTGGCCAAGGGGGCAACCCCTGGGATCGAATCACGCAAAGCATGGAAGCTTGTTGAGAAGACCTTGAAACATGAACGCAAAGAATGGCAGCGCGCACTTGCGGACAGAGCGGGGGCCCTCGACTGGAATGCCTACCGCGCCATTAAGCACAAATCATCTCGGTCCAACTGGGCGGAGAACTTGCTCGATGACCCGGACTGGGAAGAAGCACTCAGAAAGCACATGAGCTCCATTTTCGCGAAACGACCACCGGCAGATACTGCCGCAGCCATGCAATGCATGCGAGAGGAGGCGACTAGGTTGTGCAAAACCTGTCCTTGGCGCCCCTTCACTGAGTCAGAGATGCGCATTACGATGGCAAAATGGAAAACGCACAAGGCCACCGGCACCGATGGAATTGCTTTAGAGGCACTCCAGCTGCTGTTCGAAGACCACCGTTGGCGCCCTCGCATTGCCGAGCTTATCAACGACAGTCTGTATCGGGGGGATATCCCCCCGTGGGTCTCCGAAGGCGCGTCAGTGCTTCTTCCAAAAACCGCTGTCCCTGCGGGCTGGTCCGATACCAGGCCCATCACCCTGTCGAGCGCTGTGCTCAAGTGGATAGCGCAACTCCTGCTGTTGCGGGGTACACCCGCCCTTCTAGACTGTTGCCAGCACCAATGGGCAAGCCGACACAAGCAGGGCGTTGAACTGATCTTAGCTATGCGCAAACTGGCCCGTGTCGCGCACGAATGGAAAACACCTTTCTATATCGTGAAGATTGATATAGCTAAGGCCTTCGACTCGATCGCTCAAGAAAAACTAGGTGACCTCGTCATGAGGAAAATCGCGAGGGGAGGCCTCCCCTGGGAAGCGAGACTGTGGCTTAAGTTGCTTGAGGCACGCGAGTTGAACTTTTACGTTCAAAAGCACAAAGTGCCCGTCACCCAAACCAACGGAGTGCGACAGGGCAGCCCAGATAGCCCAGTTTTGTTTGCCGCAGAAATAGGGGAAACCCTTGACGCAGTCCTGCAGAGTGTTCGCGGGGGCGAACCCCCACATGTAGGCCGTCACCAAGCCCTCGGACCACCACCGCATTCAGGTGCTGCCTTTATGGACGACACATATGTCTGGGGAGAGTCCCCAGAACACGTGCAGGAAGTCCTCCAGGCGCTTGAAGCCAAATTCCTGGAGCTAGGCTTGCGAATTAACGCCAAGAAGACCCATGTAGTCTCTAGCATCCCTGATGACACCTTTAGGTTCTCCATAGGCGGCGTCCAGGTAGCCCCCGATGGGCCACACGCCATCATGACCATCCTAGGGGCGCCGGTCACCGTGTCCGGGGCGATTGCCCCGTTGGTAGCCGAAATGCAAGGCCGTGCTCGCAAGGCCTTCCATGCTAATCGTAAACTTCTTTGCTCTAAGGCCCCCATTAAGGACCGCCTTAAGATGCACCAGTCCCTTGTCCGTAGCGCGGCGCTCTGGGGTTGCCCTGCATGGCCCCCACAAGCAGCCTTACTGCAGGCTTCCAACACAACCCAGTTGTTGCAAGCACGTTCCATGATCTGCGGGGGACGCTCCCCGACTGAAACGTGGCAGGACTGGCACATCCGGTCACTCCGCAAGACGCGATCGATCTTGCATCAAAACAAAATCCAACGGTGGTCAACACATGCGCTCCAGATGCAGTGGCAGCTTTGGGGCCACATTGGCCGCGCAGTGTTCCAGCCGACATTCCACATTCTCCGATGGCGGGACCTTACGTGGTGGCGAGACCAGCAAGCGCTTCCCCCGGGGCCCCACCCCAAAGGAGTTCGCCATGTCGGCCACCATAACCCGCACGTTGATCCGGAAAGACAAATCTCCGCCATTGCCGGAAATCAATGGTGGATCCCGGCTCAGGATCGGACGCAGTGGCAGTTGCTATGCAAAGCTTTCGTTGAGGCTTTTGACCCCCCGTGGGCAAGCGGTAACCAACTCGCACTGCCTGGAGCCCCCAACCTTGCCCCGAACAGACGTCCCCCCGCTCAGAGTGCCAGTCGGGCCCCCAGGGGCCGTTTGCCCCTACATGCGCATGCCAGTTCAAGTTCCCGCCTCGCCATTGCCGCATAACGGATGACTGCTTATAGGAGAGTTAGCGGTTCTTGCGAGTGCTAACTTCGAGCCTGCCGCATCCCATGCCCCGGTATTTTGTTTTCTGGTTTAAGAACCCTCCCTTTAGGCCGCTTGTTTCCCCACCCTGCCACGCAGCAGCCTGCAAGCTTTGTGTCAAAGACAATACAGCTCGAGCCCAGGCCCCCACCTACGTAGCCGCAAGATCGTTCCATCTTTGTTTCTCCTGCCTTGCCCAAACACAAGCAGCTCTTTTGCAAAACTTTGCCTTGATAACCCCGAACCATTCTGTAATGCTGACATATGCCATAAGCCAGTTCGTCGCAGCAACCCAGGTGTGCCCAGGTCAGCTCCACTGTTCTCAGGTGTGACAGCAATCCCACTGTGCTCAGGTTTGCCCTGCCATTCTTAGGAGCGATCACTGCAGCCGTGCAGCTCCTGACTCCAAGCGAGCAACTGTGTAGCAAATTGCCTGCGGTACGCGATGTACCGACCATCGACGGCGCCTTCGCTGAGCCGCAAGAGGAGCCCCATGTGCTTCGTCTTGCTGGTGCTGAGTGCCGTTGGCTGCCTCCGCAGTCTGGCTGGGCCCAACCCGGACGTCGTGATCGTAGACTCAAGCAGCGAAAGCGACATGTCAGACATGCCGTGGGCGCCTTTGGAACCGGAGCCCCATGCTGAGCCTAGAGTCGTGGACGCGGACGAGGTGATGGACATGCCAGTTCAGTCACAGGGGACGGCCCCCCCTCTGGGTGAGCCTCCGGCAGTACAAGACCGAGTCCCGAGGAGAGGACAACCAGGTCGTCCTCAACCAGGTAGTCAGCAGCCCGCGGCACCTGGGCTACATGACCAACGAGCTCCTTTGCAGGGACGGGGAGTACTTCCAGCCGCGAGTGGAGCCCTACAACAACCACCCATGCCGTACCAATATGCAGGCCCAGTGCAACAGGGGGGTGTTCCCTACTACCCTCCAACAGCGCAGCAACCGAGTGCACAGGACCGCTATGCCACATACAGGATCGGCTATGCGCAGGCCTATGACCCGGCAGCCGACCCGTGGCACGAGGACGGCATGTTCACTGGTGTGCCGGGCCAAGCTCCCGTCACGATGCCCTATGACCCGTGGGAAGATGATTTGGACCAACCTACTCAACCTCCACCTCCCATTCGAGGACAATACCAAGGAAGAGATCACATGGCTGGACAACCACTTCCACAACAATACCAACATCACCTTCCACAACAACCTCACGCACAGACGCAGCCGCAAGCCCAGTTCAACCCACCACCACAGCAACAGCAGACCTTCCAACAATCACAGCCAGCGATGCAAACAGGAGGAGGAGGGGGACCTCCTTTCGTGCAGGGAGCGGGCCAGCACCACCCGCCAAGCATGGACCCGTGGGGCTTCATCGCCAGACATTATGCCTCTCAAGGCCCCTTGCTTCCGCCCAGCCAATGGAGCCACAATCTGCTTGGCCTGGGACGACAACACCAACAACAGCGTGATGCAGCTGGCCCGCACGATGATGGCGCAGACGCCACATGCACTACCGACACCACTTGCGAGGGGGAGAACCCCGAGTACTTCGAGGAGGGAATGGAGACAGAGGCAGAAGTTGAAGCCGAAGAAGGAGAACTGCCTCCTCACAGCGATGCCGATGACGAGCTCACCGACGTCCCTGAGGATGAGCTGGACTGGGATAGCGACCAGCCGGACACCGAGGATGAAGAGGAGGAGCCACAGCCTGCAACCGCCGGTGCAGCATCCGGGGCGAGAGCCCCCAAATGAGCCGCTGGACATGGATCGCAGAGGGTGGCTAACAAGGCCAAAAAGTCCGACGTCAAGAAGCTGTGGCGAGAGATGGACTGGGGCAAAAAGCCTAAATGGCTAAGCTGGAGGAGAGCTCTGGACTACATCAAACGGGGAGAGCGCCCCCCGGCCAAGGAGCCACTGCCAGCTTCACCATCGCCACAACGAGCACATCTTCTCGCGGCTTTGTCGGCCCACCACTACAGCTACGACGCGCAGGGAAACATCATCCCCGACTACCCGCAGCAGCCTCAGCCGAGCCAAGAACCGACCAGGGGGGACAAAGCCTCCAACCAAGCCAGAGTGGACCATGCCAAGAGACGGCAAGCGAACCCATATCTACAACCACAAGGACGACAATCGAGATCTACTCCCTCGACATCAACACCAGCAGGAGGAGAACGGCCTCCTCCACAGCCACAACCTCAACACGGCACTACACCGCCACGTCATCAACAACAACGAACTCCAGCCGCAGCGTCGTCAACCTCAAGGGCAGCCGTTACGCAGCAGGCCCAAGATCAACACACGCAGCCGCCACAGCAGCCAACGCAGTCCAGGCAGCACGCCCAACCAAAACAACCGCCACAGCGCAAAAGGGACCAAGGTCCTGAACAACCACCACCTCCTCAGCCACAGGATCACCGCAACCAACCACCCCAACAACAAGCACGCCAACAGCGACAAGTACACTTTCAGCTGCCAGACGACCACAGAGAAGAACCACCCCGCCCTATCCGGCGTCAATACACATGGAGGAAACTCTCAGACAGCACGGAGGTACAGTTGCGTGGGGATGGCGTTGCAAAGTACCCAGTTCAGATCATCGACAACCGCCCGATCCCGGCACAAGGGTCGGCAGGGGGACAACCCCTCGACCAAGCAGACCACCAGCTGCACAACCAGTTCCACAACGTCATCGGGGACCAGCTCGTGGTTCAGCCAGCCCACATCACGGACTACCCGCACGTTCCTGGCAGCTCCTCGTCTTCCAGCTCCAGAGGCCCTCGAGATCCAGCACAAGAGACAGGGGGACCTCCCCTGCCAGATGTTCGTGACCTAGAGCAACAAGCGGCCGAAGCTGTGGAGGCGGGTCGAGTCCCACCCTGGCAAGTTGAAGGAGAGGGTCCCAGCATGAGAAGCAGCGTGAGAGTCGATGACAATAGCCACGATATTTCATGGATACAGGGGGTCACCCCTGCTACACTCCCACCGCCAATGCCGCTCCACCCGCGCACGCTCCTGAGTTTGCGAGGCAGCGCGACTGGCTCGTGGCGAGGGGTCACATGGTCACCCCCAAGCAACTCCCTGGTCCGGCATCCAGCTAGACAGCATATCGAACCTACGATGGTGATCTACAAAACCCTGGCGGGACGACCGGAACGGGGGATTCTCCCCGATGGCCTCCAGATTACGATCCACCCCGCCGGAGCCTGGATCGCTACCACGCGCTTCGAATTGGGCTTCGCGCGCACACCCAGATATTGGCTCCTGGAAGTGGACTATGCGCCGCCGCCCCAACCAGATCGAATGCAGCTGCGTACAGGTGAAAGTTTTTGGCTAGAATGGCGGGGCGAGGAACGACAATGGAAAAGGCGACCCAGGTTCTACAACGACATCGCCGTCCTCGGGCGGTTCCCCACGATCCCGCAAGCCGAAGCTCCAAGGCCACCTACGCCTCCACAAAGACGCGACCCTACCACGGCCACGGCACAGCGAGGAAGTCAGCAAAGACCGCGGGGATTCAACCCGCAGTTCTTCGTGGACACCAGACCACTCAGGGGAAGGTTGATTACCCCTACCGCGACGGCCCCGGAAGAGCAAGAACCGGCTTCGTCCTCTACCTCAGGGAGCGGCCCCGCACGACCTCGCCGAGACGAATCCAGCAGACCAGAGGCGAAAGGCAAGGCCAAGCCGCCACCACCACCAACGACTACCTCGGGGTCCGAGTCGGAAACTAGCTGGCCCAGTGAAGACCCGCCACAGCCCGACCATGACAGCAGCGCCCTGCTACAAGCCTATCGGGAGTCCTTCAGGGAACCTCCTGCTACAACCGACGACTCCGACTACCTCGTCCTCATGCAGACAGGCAAGACGCCCAAGAATGACACCCCAACCAATGCAGAGGGATCGGGAACAACATCCCGAAATCTGCGACCGGGGGAGTCGGACCCCCAACCAACGATCAATGATACAGCGTGGTTTTCGGTGGCAGCCAACTTCGAGGGAGACTTTACGGTGGAGGGACTATTGCGGCTCTTGCAAAAGATCCTGCACGAGATGCTACAACAATCCTTTGCTTTACCCAGCGACTACCTCACCAGCCTCGCCTACCACGCTTGTTACTACATGTCAAAGTTGCAGAGCACCAACGAAAGGCATCTGCAGCAGGCTGGGCACGCTGGGGTGAACCCAGAACCGCCTCAAGCAGCTGGACCCACCGCCATGGTCTTCTGCATCACGAATGCCTTCGTAGAGGCCGAGGCAGCGCTCCAATGCCTCGCCCACAACCACGATGAGCTGCCCAAACGACATCTGGTCAAAGAGCAGGCCCTGCTCCAGGATGGCCGCGCCATATTCAAGAGCTGGGCTCGAGACCCTCAAGCGCCGGGAGCCTTGCCCGGAACGGCTGCGTCTCAGAATGCCTTAGATGGAGTCAGCTGGGCTTTCCTTGCAATCGAAGAGGGGGGCGTGGCCACCCTGGACGAAGCCCTCCAAAATGCGTGGCAAGCGACCCAGCGATGCAACAAGTACATGGACGAGTTGCTGGCATGGATAGAGCAACAATTCCAGGCCAACACCGGAGCGGGGAGCCCATCCCCCAAACGTCGCAGAACGGAGGTGGCGACTGGCAGCTTGTCTCATCCCCTCTTTGTCGACGAGAACCGAGGGGGAGACCCCTCATCGCATACAGCCGAGCCACTTGGTCTACACCGTGAAGTACCTGCACCTGAACAACATCATGCAGTACCTGTACGCCCGGGTGCCCGCCCTCAACCAGATCATGCAGCAGCCCTTCCAGGTGAACACAAACCCGAGCAGGGAGCAGCCCCCTACAACATCCTGAAAGCGCAACACATATTAGAGGGTGTGCTCCCCTTCACGGAGCAGCAGGTGGCGATCGCTCTCCAAGAGGCCCACGCATACCTACTGCAATGGACCACTGGACTCTGGGGCGAGCCCATCGTGCTAGCGGATAGTGCAGAGAGCAACGAACAGACGATGCCGGAGCCCTCATACGAAGACACTGGCATGAACGCTATGATGCCGGGGGACCCGCCCCCAACTCTGCCTGCAGATGATGGCTCAGACGAAGACTCCACAGTTAGTGCACATCGCCGACGAAGACTCCACGCAGCTTTCCAAGAGTGAGAGCATTCGGGGGGTGCCCCCATGGCAGCCGACACCTGAGTCGAAGTGAAAAGCCTGAGCATCCGATGCTTCATAGTGGCCGGGGTCAAACCCCGTCACTTGTAGGGTTCCCCCGCCCCCTTTTGCGTTCAGGTTCCTTGACTTCGGTAGGTTCAGGAGGGATGCCTTCTTCTTTTTGAGGTTGCAATTCCCCACGAGGCCCCCTGGGGTTTCCCCAGCCTGCAGGCACACGAAGGGAGCCTTGAGCATGGGCTGGTGGTTTCGACGTTCTTCTAAGGTGTGGTTGCTGTTTTTAGTTCTCGATGCCCACGACAAGGATCCGACTAAGTAGCATACAAAGGGGGGCCGTTCCCCCCCTTCCTAACACGCCGCAGCCCTTCTGTTCAGGTTCAGTGACTTCGGTTGGTTCTCTCTGGTTGGAGGGTCTTTTCGGTTGCGGGGTCGCGTGGCAGGGCTACGGTGAGACAACATGGCCAGGAGGAAGACTCCTCCCCTGCTTAGTTCTCAGTTGTCATTTGTTGTTTGGTGCCAGTTTGCGAGTGAGGACTTCCTTCCCAAGCGTTAGTGCTAGAATGCTCCGAAGGGAGAAACTTTCCCTACTCAAAGCTCAGCGAAACCTGGGAAGAACCCAGTGAATGCAACCTTCTAGTGTGTTCCTGGAGCTGCAGTCTTCCAAGGTTATATTCTGGATCGCAGGTTGCCTTCGTGTCGCATGAGCGTACTCTCACCCCTGGCCCCGC